TCACACCAAATACCTTACAGAAAAATCCTTTCTTAGTGAACTCAGTTTTTGCATGTATTATTTCAAGCCACTTATGCTTTAATACAGTTAACAGCATGCCATTCAGTTATAGAAATGTTAATGTTGACATGATAAAACTAAATTATTGGATTATGGACTCACAAGGAAATGATCATATCTCATATTCCCTGGGTAACTTTGTTTCACCTTGGCTTGTCAGCAACTACTTTGTTCAATTACCAAATAATAGAAAAGCCATTATCACACATGTAGGATTAGTTAGATTGACATCATTATTGACTTTAAAAAATGTTCTTTGTGTCTCAAGTTTTAGGTTTAATCTTGTTGCAGTACGACAGCTCACTAATGCTAAAATTAATTATGTTCTCTTCACTAACAAGTATTATGTTGTTCAGGACATTCTCTCAGGGACAGCGTTTAGGGTAGCTAAGGCTTCTTCAGGATTGCATGTGAAGCAACATAAGAAAGATGAGCAGGAATTGTCAAAATACAATTTTGATAAAACTTGTCAAATTTCCAAATCTTTTGTCTGTCAATGCCTATGATACGAAACATAAAAATTTTGATTTATGGCACTTTAGACTTGGTCATGTTCCTTTGGAAAGGATTAGTGTAATACATCAACAATGTGCAAATGTTAGTTGTTCTAAGAATTTACTTGTGAAATTTGCCTTTTGGCAAAACAAAGAAAACTTCCCTTTCCAGTGCATGCTTAAAATATTAAGATAGTTTTTGAATTAATGCACATTGATATCAGCGGGCCATGTGAACACCCCACTTTATCTTGTCAACACTATTTTTTAACAATTGTGGATGATTATTCACGTTTTACTTGAATTTTCCTTATGAAAAATAAATCAAAATCTTCAATGATAATTCCATTTTTAATACATTTGTTAAAAAACAATTTGATTTTAACATTAAGTGTCTAAGAATAGACAATGCTTAAGAGTTACAAATGTCTAATTTCTTTACTAAACTGGTATAATTCATCAATTATCATGTGTTGAAACTTATTAACAAAATGGAATTGTTGAAAGGAAGCATCAACACATACTAGTGGTGGCAAGAAGCCTAATGCATTAGTCAAGGGTACCTATTCACTTCTGAAAGGATGCTGTCCTGACAACCATACACATCATCAATAAGGTACGAACTAAAATTCTTCATAACAAATCACCATATGAGATTTTGCATCATAGGCCCCCATCATATAATCATTTAAGAGTTTTTGGATGTTTATGCTTTATGTCCACATTGGTTCAGAATAGAAAGAAATTAGATAAAAGGGCTAACAAATGTATCTTCCTAAGCTATCTTAATAACATAAAGAAATATAAGGTTTATGATCTTTTTGCTTAAAAAGTCCTAATATCTAAAACTGTGGTTTTTCATGAGCAAGCATTTCCATTTCAAGCAAAACAGAATGGTATACAACCACCTGCATTTTACCAAATATCTATTGTGCATGACACATTTTTTGGTCATTTTGATTATAACCCTGTTGAATTTTCTCACCAAGACCATGAACATGTTGAGTCAGAACACTTTGAACTTATATCACCTGAATTGAACCACATCACTTCAAATACCAATGATTCCAACACAAATTCACCTTCCACAAACAGTTTACTTGTTACAAACAATACTAATAAGCCTGAACCAAGCAATAATACTAATACATCCATACCAATTAGGAAAAGTTCCAGAATCAAACATGCCATCAAGTACTTAGATGCTTATTATAGAGACTTACCATCACAAACATACAGTGTAACCTCATATCCAATTACTAAGTATTTGTTAACTCAAAAACTATCTTCTAATCATAAATCCTTTACTACAACATTGTCACACATACAAGAACCTAGTTCTTATCATGAGGCAGTCATTCATTCACATTGGAAAGAGGTTATGACTTCTGAACTACAAGCTTTGAATGGTAATGGAACATGGACTATAGTACCTCTACTTTCAAACCATCATGTAATTGGTTGCAGGTGGGTATACAAGGTCAAACTGAATAGAGATAGGGATGTAGAGAGATTCAAAGCACGTTTGGCTGCTAAGGGGTACAATCAAAAACCAAGCTTTGATTATCAAGAAACACTTAACCTTGTAGCAAAGCAATCGACAGTAAGAGTCTTTTTTGCATTGGCAGCTGCTTGTAATTGGCAGTTGTCACAACTAGACATAAACAATGCATGCCTAAATGGGGACCTAGAAGAAAAAGTGTACATGGAACTGTCAAAAGGTTATACTATCAAGGGGGAGTACTTTGTAGATTCAAAGATGGTTTGTAAACTACACAAGTCTTTGTAAGGTTTAAAGTAGACATCAAGGCAGTGGAATACTAAGCTTACTGCAGCAATCTTAAAATAGGGTTTCAAACAATCAGCTTTGAACTATTTATTGTTTACAATGAAAGAAGATAATGGAGATTTCATAGCACTCCTTGTTTATGTAAATGACATTTTGATTGGCCGTAATTCTCATCAGGAATCAAACAAGGTAAAAGAATTTTTGAAATCACATTTTAAGCTCAAAGAGCAGAAAACAGTTAAATACTTTCTAGGGCTTGAAATTGCCAAATCTCCATAAGGTATATCAATATGTCAGAGGAAGTATGTTCTTAATCTTCTAGAAGAAAATGGACTACTTGGAGCTAAACTAGTGAGTACACCAATTGACTACAATCATAAACTCACGAAGCTCAACAATGAAGAAAAGTTATCAGATTCTACAAGGTATAAGCAATTAATTGGAAGTTGATATACTTAACTTTCAGCAGACCATACATTTCCTCTATTGCAGGTCCTATCACAATTCATGGACAAGCCAGGGAAATAACATCTCATTGCAGCTCATAGGATTTTGAAATACTTGAAAGGGTTACCAGGACAGGGAATACTGATGAAATCAGAGTCCAATTTAAAGATATCAAGCTATGTCGACAGTGACTGGGCTGGATGTCTAGATACTAGAAGATTAGTCACAAGATTCAGGATTTTCATCAAGGATTCTTTGGTGAGTTGGAAGTCAAGGAAATAATTGGTTGTGGCCAAAAGTGCAGTTGAGGCAAAGTATCATTCAATGGCCTCAACATGTTGTGAAATCATTTGGATTAAAAAACCTTTTGGTAGAGTGTGAAATCAGTCATGATGAAGCAAACTTTACTCTGACAGTCAATCTGCAATCCACATCAACAAGAACCTCATATTCCATGAGAGAACCAAACATATATAAATGAACTGTCATATTTCATCAGAGAAAAGGTTTTAGCTAGATTGATCAAGCCATTGCATGTCTTAACTAATCTACAGATTGCGGATATTTTCACTAAGGCACTACAACCAAATCAATTTCATAAACTTTGAAGACCTCAACGCACTATTTCAATAATGCTTGGGGACTAGATAGAGAATCACAAAGAGAAATCAAGATGCACCGTTTTAATGAGAAGAGTTGATGTTAGAGGTGCAGATAAAGCACACTGTTTGGTTAACATCTATGCTATATATTAAAAATGCATTCACGTTGAGGTCTCAATTGGGCTTTCTGCAAGGTTTTTTTTTTTTGTTTTTGTTTTCAATGGGTGGCTTCTTTGGTGATTGTGGGATTTTTTAGTCCTCTTTTATTTTTTTACCATCACTCAATTCTTTTGTCTTGAGGACGGTTTTGATATTTTAATATGTTTACATGTTATTTTGGTCGTTTTCATTGCCATGCTTCTAGATTATTCCCTTTACCCTCTAGGGTTCTTCTCCCTATTTCATTTCCTACTTTTTCTATTCTTTTCATCTTTTTTACCTCTTTTTCCACTGTTATTTTCTTTTTCTGATTTTGTTTCATTTTCTCGAATTTTGTATTTGGTTTGGTTTATTATTTTTCTGGCTTGGTTGTTTACTAGGTGTTTCAGATTTGGTTTGGTTTGTTCTTTTGTTTTGTTTCCTATATTTTGTATATTTGATTTCTATTGCTGCTTTAATTGTGTTCCACTATGAGTTTCACTTGGTTTGGGTTTTTTAGACTCTTAATTCTTTGATCCTGTTGTTGTCTTAATTATTGTTTAGGTTGTTGTTTTGCGCCTTTGAAATTTAGTTTCATTTGGAATAAGTTTCGGAAGTTTTTTTTTTTTTAATGTTGTGTGAATTTTTTGTTTTTGTTTTATTTCTTTCTTCTTTTCTGTGATGTTAAATTTGATTTTCTGATTTGGTTTTGTTTTTCTTTTTATTTTCCACTTTCAACAAATTTTTTAGCTATTATGTTTTTGACAATTTTTTTTTGCTGGAATAAATAGGTTTGGTTTTTCAAAAAATTTCTAAGCTAGGACTTCCAAGTTGCTCAAATATAGGTCAATTATTTTTTTCTTATACAATACAATGCTCACAAGTAGTTGTCAATTATTCAAATGGTCACTGTTTCAATATTGCATACTTAACTTTTTTTTTTTTTACATTGAATATTACACTTTTTCCTACCATTAATGGATATTTTAATGTTAATAATTTAGTTAGTTATGCTTTATTGATAGCATCAATTACATAAAGTTAACAATTTGTTCAATTATATTTTTCTAATAACATCAAACAAATAATTAAATATTTGGTTAAAAAAATGATAATCATTTATATAATATTTCAAACAATACCTATAAAATAACAATTTTCTAACACAACATGGAAGAAGCATTCTAAGTAATTTTTTTTAAAAGTTAGTTAAGTAGTCTAATCAGTAATTAGTTATAGACTAACCCATTTTTTTCTCTGTATTAGAGCTATACCTTTGTATAATTTTTTCCTCTTAGGTAACGAGAATTGTTCATCATTCTCCCATCTTTACGCGCCGCCTCTTTTACCTTTTCTGACAGTCCGGGCCAGCATTTGCACTTTACATTCTAGGCTAGCTGTCCATTGTTTACGGTACGTAGAAATGCAGAGCCAGAGTCATGGTTAACGCAGCCGAGAAACCATGTCGTGTAGGATAATTAGATGGCAATATTGATTGGATAAAGTGCACAGTATTCTAGCCTATATATACAAGGAAAGTGTGTTAATTGGCCACTCGTTCATATTCAGCTATTGATCATGTGAAATATTTCTTTTTCCTCAAATGTCCCAGAAACAAAGGCTCAATTCTAACTTTGTTTGCTATTTAATTTTCATTTGATTGAGATGTTTCGGTCTTTTGCATGCCTTGAGTTCTTCTCGAAGCAAATGCATTTCTTTCCCACTGATAAGAAGTGAACATAGTTTTACGTTACGGGTACCGATCAACAATACTGCAGTTTTCACACCTTTCAGCTTTAAAGTGAAGGTAGACTTGTCTCCAATTTACTCTATGCAAGGTGACAATAGACTTTTTAGTGTTGTTAACTCAGTCACTCTTCTAATATGTGATGCCATGCCCAAGTACGCGCGCGTGGTTCATCTCACTCCGAAGCTTGAGCTCTTCCAATTTTCTCCCAGCAAGCAACGAACCCAACAATCTTCTCAACAAGGTGCGCTTGCTTTCATCACGCGGCCAACTCCAGGAAGCTCTCTCACTCTTCTACAATACACCACCCGAACTTCACTCCCGACAAACATATGCCAGTCTCTTCCATGAATGCGCTCGCCATGGATATCTTCAACAAGGCCTTCATTTGCATCATTTCATGCTTGCCCATTTTCCCAACAACACGTCCGACCTCTTTCTCGCTAACCATCTCATCAACATGTACTCAAAATGTGGCTGCTTACATTATGCTCAGCAAGTGTTTGATGCAATGCGTGAAAGGAATGTTGTTTCTTGGACAGCGCTCGTTTCGGGGTATGCGCAGCGCGGTAGGGGTCTGGAGTGTTTCCGTCTCTTTTCGGGCATGTTGGTTGAGTGTCGGCCAAATGAATTTGCGTTTACAAGCGTGCTTAGTTCGTGTGATTGCTTTCGTGGTAAGCAAGTGCATGCACTCGCGTCCAAGATGGGATTGGACGCTTCTGTTTACGTAGCAAATGCTCTCATTACCATGTATAGCAAGAGTTATAAGATAGAGGAGGCCTGGACATTGTTTAAGAGTATGCACTATTGGAGTCTAGTTTCTTGGAATTCAATGATTGCCGGGTTTCAGTTAGCAAAGCTCGGGATGGAAGCTATTGGTGTTTTTGCCAAAATGCATGACGAGGGCATTGGCTTTGATCGTGCCACACTGCTCAGTGTCTTTTCTTCGCTATGTGGAAGCAGTGGCATTGATGTAGATTTGGGTCTTAAGTTTTGTTTTCAATTGTTCTGTCTCAGTGTTAAGACTGGGTATATTTCTGAAGTTGAAGTGGCAACTGCATTTATGAAAGCTTATTCAGATCTTGGAGGAGACGTTTCTGAATTTTATCAACTCTTCTTGGAGACAACTTGCTGTCAAGATATCGTTTTCTGGACTAGCATGATCACAACATTTGCAGAACATGACCCAGTTGAAGCTTTTTCCCTCTACCGACAATTGCTTCGGGAGGACTTGATTCCAGACTGGTATACTTTTTCAATTGTACTAAAAGCTTCTGCAGGCTTTGTAACTGAGCACCAGGCGTCGGCAATTCATTCACAAGTGATTAAAGCTGGGTTTGAGGATGAAACGGTGCTAAAAAATGCCTTGATCCATGCCTATGCAAGATGTGGCTCTGTTGCTTTGTCTAAGCAAGTTTTTGAAGAAATGGGATTTCGTGATTTGGTGTCTTGGAACTCAATGCTTAAGGCCTATGGCTTGCATGGAAAAGCTAAGGAAGCACTGCAACTCTTTCCACAAATGGATGTCAAACCTGATACTGCTACCTTTGTTGCTCTTCTTTCAGCTTGCAGTCATTCTGGACTGGTGGAAGAAGGGATCAGAATCTTCGACTCCATGTTCAAGAATCATGGCATTATTCCTCAATTAGATCACTACGCTTGCATGGTAGACATCCTTGGACGAGCAGGGCGAATCATTGAGGCTGAGGAGCTTATAAGTAGAATGCCTATGGAGCCTGATTCTGTGGTTTGGAGTGCTCTACTTGGGTCATGTAGGAAGCATGGTGAAACCCGGTTGGCCAAAATTGCTGCACGTAAACTGAAGAAGATGGAGCCTAAAAATTCATTAGGTTATGTACAAATCTCAAATATATATAGTTCAGGTGGCAGTTTCAATGAAGCAGGAACAATTAGAAAAGAAATGAATGGGTCAGGAGTTAAAAAGGAACCTGGTCTAAGCTGGATTGAGGTTGGAAACCAGGTGCATGAGTTTGCCTCTGGAGGCAGACATCATCCTCAAAGAGAGGCTATATGCACCAGGCTTGAGGGATTGATTGGACGGTTAAAGGAGATTGGTTATGTACCAGAAATAAGCTTGGCCTTGCAGGACATAGAGGAGGAGCACAAACAGGAGCAATTATTCCACCACAGTGAGAAGATGGCATTGGTATTTGCCATAATGAATGAAGGGAATTTGCATTGCCGGGGGAGTGTGATAAGGATTATGAAGAACATCCGAATTTGTGTTGACTGCCATAACTTCATGAAGTTAGCGTCAGAACTTGTTCAAAAAGAGATTATTGTCAGGGATTCAAATCGTTTCCACCACTTTAAAAATAATGTCTGCTCTTGTAATGATTATTGGTGACAAACTAGCACTAGGCGATTAAACGCACCTGCCTGGGTTCAGTTTTTCACCCTGCATGTTTGTCACTCTGTGGAAGCATTAAACTGCACTGCAGTGGCAGATTGAGTTGAAACCAAAGGATGCATGCTAGAAAACCGGTCTTCTGAAACGGGGAGTACGATTCCGTCTCTGCTACTCAATTGAAACGGAAATTCCGTCTGAGAAGAGCTGCTCGCAGCTTTTCTGTTTCAAATTTCGTTTAAAAATTGAGACAAAAGTTTTCCATTTCCAATTTTTTCTCAAATTTGAAATGGTAATTATCCGTTTCAGACTGTACTATATATTTGTTACAAATTCTAATATAAAAGTTTTTCATTAACTAATCCAAAATACTATATAATATTCAAATTTATTTAAGGGAAAAAAATGAATTACTTAATTCATATATATATATAGAGAGAGGGAGAGAGAAGTAAAGATATTGAAAACCTTCTTGTTTGACCAAATCGGACCTTTTTATTCATTATAATTCTAAATTATTATTAACCATGTTAAATAATTGTACATAGTAGTATCATAGAATACTTGAAATTCAAATTAAGTTCTAAATTGTCATTTGCCAAATAAAAATTCTAATAACATTGAATAACTTTTATTAAAAATTATTTCTTGAGCATATTTATTCTATACATATATATATATATATATATATATATCTAAACACTCATTTTAAATATTTTTAGTATAAAACTTAATAAGAATTTTTTAATTCGTAATCCACAATTGCTATATATGTTTAGAGATGACTCTTTGAAGGTATGAGCCTTGAAGTTATACTACAAAGATGTTATTCTTCAATAATTAAAGACACCATAATTTGTTTCAACATGATGGTTGTAGATACTTTATTTTGTCAGTTTTCGTTAATTTGGGAATTAAAATTTTTATATAATTAAAAATATATAAAATTAAATTAAATTAAAAATTAAAAAACACAAAATTAAAAAATATTAAAAAAAAAAGAAAAGAGAGAAAAGCAAGATCCAATAAGCAATGCCTTATCTAATCCTATCTTGGATTGGGTTCAACTTTCATCAAAATCTGTTAATCCTACTGATTTTTATCTAAAGCTATTTGTAACTTTACATTTTTCCTGCTGTGCTGATATGGTCAACTTGATCTTTGTAAAGGGGTTATTGTGATAGGGAGAGAAAGCATTGCAAAAAAGTAAAAGGATACATCAGACGTAGTGGAGAGGAAGATCGAAACAGTTTCTGAAATATTAAATGTTGTGGCAAGTAAAAGAGAATAAATAAAGAATTTGAGAGAAAAGCTCTAGGTGAGATTGTTCTAGCCTTGGAAAAGAATCCTTCAAATGAATTGTGAAGGCTCTATATATAATGTCAAAAGTGATGGCTAATCAAGAATACGTTTTAATTTACGAATGACATTATTATGAAAAGTTTTAATGTGAGTAATCATTATTGTAATCCATTATGTGGATATTAAAATGACGATTTTATTGCATATAATGAATAACAGTTAGAAACTCCTCATGTGATCGGTGAAATAATTGGATGTAATAAGGCTTATTTTTTAGTAGAAGGTAATAGAGAAGAGTTATACGTGAAAAGTTATACGAAAACAAGTTAAGAGAAAAAGTGTACGTAAATAAGTACAAGAGAATAAGGCAAAAAGAGAAAACATTTGTACTTTAGAAAAGGTTATAAGAGAAGGACTTCTTAACTATTTCCATATTTGAGCTACCAAGTCAAACTCTCCAAAATATCCTAAGATGAAAGTGTTAGATAGTTTGATAATGATGGTATTTGAACTCTTGGAATAAAATTTAATAAGCAATTCATTTTTATTATTTTAAGATGAAAGTTGTGGTTGAAGAGTTACAAATAGTTCCCTTATTAAACATAACTCTTTAAATAGTTATATTATGAAAGAAAAAAACTGTTTGAATAGTTATCTTATGAAAGGAAATAGCTCTTTACATTGAAAGATGTCTACATTCATTTATTATATAAACAATATCATTACGTTGCCATTTTCACTATTCTGATAAGTATATTAAGGACTTTGTTGTGTCTTGTAGGTTGAAAAAATACCTTAAGGAAAGTGTTTTGTTCACGCTTTCAAAGTCATATTCTTCTTCTTTTAAAAACTTTCTAACATTCTTAAGGTATTTTCTAAAACTTTTCGCAATTGTTTTGTGATTGAGAGACTAGTAGGATTCAAGTGTGAAGGTTCATTTCTAAAATCAAGAAATAATCAAGCTGGATAGATTCGATGGAAGGAATTTCAATAGATGGAGGGATAAGATGATATTCCTATTAACCACATTGAAGATGTTGAGACCATATGTTTTTTATGATCACAAAACATTCTTCATTTTTTGAGTCTAACCATGTTATTTGAGTGTGTAGGAGTAAATTTGGTATATTATTGTTTATCTCACACTCCAAATTCCCCATGATAAGTCCCAAGTCCAAAGAAAGTAATTCAAACAAAATAAAAGATGTTCCACAAAAGATTAATCGATCAAAATTTCATTTTAATCAATCAAACAAGTCAAAAAAGATGGACTTAAAGCTTCACAGAAAGATTTTAATCGATTAACCTACATTTAATCGATTAAATTAACATTGGAATAGACTTCGAGAAAGACAAAAAGGTTTTAATTTATTCACCCAGGATTTTAATCGATTAAAATAACATTGAGATGCACACTGAGACAAGCAGAGAGATTTTAATCAACTAACACAAGGTTTAATCAATTAAAATGGTCTTGGAAGATGTTGCACACAATGTTAATTGATTAACTGTAGGGTTTAATCAATCAAAATTCAAAGAGAAGGCATTTTAGCTTCAAAAAGTGAAGATTCAAATTTAAGTTGACTATTGAAGGGCGCCAAGTGAAGAAAATTGAACCCATTGTGATTTTAATTGATTAAAAATCAGATTAATCAATTAAAGAGGAAATAGAGAGCTTTTAAGTGATTAAAGGAAAGTTTAACTGATTGAACTGAAGCAATGGGAACAAACAGAATAGTTTTAATCAATTAAGGTCAACTTTAATCGATTAACCTGAAGTATAGAAAAATAGATAGGAATATTTTAATCAATTAAAACTCATTACAATTGATTAAAAAGCTAGACAGATTTGAATTGAAAACTGCTAGAAGACAAAATAACAACCAAATTCTTCTTAAATTGTCTCCAATGGTCAAATTTCACTCTTTAAGTAAATAAGAGTTCAAACCGCCATAAATGCATTAAAGAAACACTTAAGAGCTAGATTGAGCCAAGAAGAGCCAAAAACTTATCTTTTCAAGTGTACTTCACTCTTATTCTTTATAAAAATGTTTGAGCTTAAACTTGTACATCTTTAATCAGCTAGGTGATCATTTATACTTTATCTTATTCTTATTTATTAGTTACTTAGAGTGTGCGAGGCACTTTAAGGGATAAACTAAGCTTAGGAAAGCTTATGGATTGTTGTAAGTGTTTAGAGCTTGGTTACAAGCTCTTCTTGTAAAAGTTTAGTAGAAGTTGCTAATTCCACTGGTTTAGTGAAGTTGGGTTTAAAATCCTTGATTAGGAGATCAAGGTAGTGGATGTAAGATAAAAAAACTAAACCATTATAAATATTTGTGTTTTGTCTACTTTTTTCTACCATTTCTTTATTAGGTGCCTTTTAACCTTTATAAGTTTCAAACTCTCATTTTCAAATTTATTCAAGAAGTTTTCAAACTTAGGAGTTTCCTTTAAGAAAACTTTTAAATGTTATTCATCCACCCTCTAGCACTCTATTGGGACCAACAGAAGATTTATTATGTTCTCGAGATGTATCAACCATCAATTTTAGAAAAGGTCACGTCAGCAAAATGAACACAAATAATACCTTTTAGAAACATTACTACAACAACAACTATTATCGTAACCACAACAATTACAACTATTGCTACATCCATAACTACTGCAACCACTACTGCTGCCGTAACCATTGTTGATGTTAACATGGAGAAACAAAAGCATGCCAAGTTTTATATGTCATAAATACATTCTTAGTTCTCTAACTGATCGATTGTATGATCTCTTCAGATATAAGACTTCAACAAAGGAAATCTAGACTGCACTTGAGAAAACATACATAAAGGAAAAAAAAAGGTATAGATAAATTTCTTGCATTGAGATACTTTGACTTTACCATAACGGATACCAAACCAATTATGGATTAAGTACATGAATTACAAATTTTGGCCTCTAAATTAAGTTAACTGGAAATAAAAATCCCTGGCTCACTTTAAGTGGGAGCAATTCTGTCCAAACTTTCACTTTCTTGGAATGGATATAGGAAGAAAATTTTGCATTCTCACTTTGACTTTACTACAATGGATACCAAACCAATTATGGATTAAGTACATGAATTACAAATTTTGGCCTCTAAATTAAGTGAACTGGAAATAAAAATGCCTGACTCACTTCAAGTGGGAGTAATTCTGTCCAAACTTTCACTTTCTTGGAATGGATATAGGAAGAAAAATTTGCATTCTCAAAAAAGTTTTACTATTGATGAGTTTCAAACTCGTTTGTAGATGGAGGCAAAAAATCAAGCTAAAGATGCATTCATTCTTGGATCAAATGTAAACCTCATCAGTGAAAAAGAAAAGGGTTCTAGAAAAATGAAAAGAAATAAAGTTCAAAAAAATGACTTCAAGAAGTCCTAGAAATTTAAAAGTGATTAAATGTGTTATCGTTATGAAAAGAAAGGGAATTTTATCAAAGAATGCAAGCTTAAAAATTCTAGAAATCTTGAAAACAAGATTGCTACTTTTGGTTCTAAAAATAAGGTAAAACTTGTCAAACATGACATCCAAAAACGTGTTGTGATGGTGATTGAAATGCATATTGGAATGGTTATCGAAGTACACATGCCTACTATAACAAAACATTCATAATGGTGGCTAGATTCCAATGCTATTATTCATGTTTGCAATGACAAAAGGTAGTTCAAGAGTTATAAAGAACTCAACAGACTAGAAGAAATTCTAATGAGGAATCATAATCCGATTAAAGTTCTATACAAAGGAACAATTGAGTTAAAATTTAACTGAAGACAAAAACGAACTTACTTAACATATTCCATGTTCTTGAAATTAGAAAAAATATTG